ATAAGGACATGAACGAAAAGATGAACAGACATCCACACACCTGTGCCACTAACTTGTCCGGTGTGTCCAGGGCGTTATGTAGTTATGCCTGTAGGCTTGGTGACACAAAATTAAAATTGTAATGAAGTGATGAGGGTATTGAAAAATGTGTTTGGTTATGCACTGTTGTGTTATTTTAAATTCTAAACACAGTATTGTCTCCTCACGTTCCTCAGTGCGTGCTGTTGTTATTTTATTTTGAAAATTGGCCGGATTCTCTTGTCTTGTCTGTGTCCGACTTCCTGTTTGGTACGATCCAGCTTGACAGAAGCGCTCGCGGCTCCCGTGAAAAATAGACCATACACCAAACTGAAGCGCTGCCTCCGCGGGCGCTCCGCTCTGCTCAGCGGCCTGTGTGGACAGTCAGATAGGTTAACATGGGCGCTAACTGAAAACTGCCTCCGCTGCTGGGCGCCATGCTTCGGTTCCGCGTCCAGGGCGTTATGTCAGCAACACTACATGAAGCAGGTGAATGACTTTTTCTCTGCAGACAGTGTGAAAACGGCAGCCACTTAAACCACTGACTGTGCACTCTGCAGCCAAGTGGGCAGGGGTGGTAATTGCAACCAGTCAAAATGACCGACGGCCTTCAGATTTTCCGGTCATTGTTGTAAAAATCCGGTCAATGACCGAGAATATCCGGTTAACGCGACCTCTGAGCTGTAGTTATCATTTTACAGACATTACAGCAGAACAACCACCGCTCCATCCGGCTTGGTCTTGGCAAGGGTGGAGTACCAGGGTAGTGCACAGGTGAGTTGCATACTGCCAATGATTGGACTGAGATTGGTTAGTTTTACCTGCCTGTCCATTGTTGCCTCATGTACATTTTGATGAAGGTCAAAAAGCTAACAATAAAGTGAAATACTGCATAGATGTCAGTTTGAGGAAATCCTTTTCTGCCAGTACAGACATTACAGCAGCAATGTTGTTTTTTTCTTTGTACCATGAAGCCACACTTTGGACCATTTCTTCCTCTCCAACATGACTCCGTCTTTCTGTTGTAAAACTATGTCGGCAGTAATAAAAGGAATTGATCAATTTGGACGCTTATGAATCCGATAGATCCGACACTTTGGAACTGGTTCCCAACTGGACGTGGTTCTCAATTCACATCCCTATCAGGGAGAGGACATTTTTCTGACAAGTTAAAATTAACTGTCTCTGGGGTGCCCAGTAACTCACCTGGGAGAATGGGCACCCCATGTACTAAGGCTATGTCCTTGCCACAGTGGCCATGGGTTCGATTCCAACCTGCATGTCATCCTCTCTCTCCTTCTTACATGCTGCAGCTGTCTCATCAAATAAAGGCAAAAAAGCCCAAATAACAATCTTTAAATCTAACTGTCTCTAAAGAAGACACAAGCAAACCCTTCGGTTCCTTCATTCAAATGGATAATATGCTTATTTTTCCTCTAAAGCAGTGGTTCCAAACTGGTCCAGCCCAGGGTCCAGATTTCTCCTTAGTCATTAGTTCAATGTCCACACAGTTTGATATATTCAGCATCATACTTGTGTTTGACCATGTCATTGAGCTAGTTTGCTGTTTCTGTCAAGTAACTGCAGCTGGAAAAGGCACTTCAAAATAAAGGTTTTGTGCTAGAAGTGTACTGCGTTTACACGTTTGCGTGTCATTTGCGGTCCATTCAGAATGGGCCAGCGACCCACCAGTTGGGAACCACTGCTTTAAAGGTTTATGTCCTCCACACCTCACCAGCTTGTTGGGTGTTAATAAGGTACGGCGACATTTTCCTTTGAGTGCTGCAGACTCGTCCTGACACACCTTATCAGCAGCTCTGCAGTCCTAACCTCCCTTCACGTCCTCTGTGGACCCATGTGCACTCAAATACACAGTCCAGACTCCAAACTGACCCCCAGACCTCATCCTGAGTTAGAGGTTAACTCAGCTCAGTCCATGTGAGAATATCAGAGTATGAACAGAGACATAAGAAAGTTGGGGGAGGACGACACCGGCAGAGGATGAAGGTGAACCGTGGTCCTCACACAGACTTGTACTATCTCTCACTGTCACTGAATTTGTCTCACTGCCTCATTTATTCACTCACATGCTAATGCAAGGATTGAGTATCAACTGCTACACTAAAGCCAGAGGAAAGGAGCTGGGCTCACTCCCACAGACCGGCCAAAACTTTCGCTATGACCTTGGCTTTGTAATGATATGCTGTGCTGACGCTGCATTCCTCTTCCTCTCAGAAAAAATAACCTTTTCTTCCTTTAAATTGATACAAGCAGTGCAAGAAAAGATTGTCGGTCATAAGGATTTCACCGAAAAAGGCGTGTTCTATCTTAAATTATCCGATGTATAGCCTTGGGAGTGTAAGACTTCCTGATCTCAATATCTCTGGATCCAATAATGATGAAACAACAGAATAAATCATTGCAGTTAGTGCCTCAGGAAACAAAGGGCACTGAGTTTGAGAAGATTTATTTGCAATGACTCACCAACAGCAAGTGTAGCGCTTCTCATAAATTATGCCACTGGTTATCACCCTGCTAAAACTACAAAAAAGAGGGATGTCTATTTCAAAAGTAAAAACATGTATTTAATAATACATGAAGACTCTGCCTTAATGGCTCGCAGCACAGCAGTTCAAAGTTCCATTCAAGGAGTATCAGGATGCTCCGCGCCCGCAGGCCCACCTCCAGGAGGAGACATGCTGAGAGAGAATCAAACACCAAATCGCCACACTTGTCCTCTCCTTGTCCACGGGCAATGCATTAGACACAGAGCAAGGTTGCACACCTCAGATTGCCACACTGGTGTCGGATTCATGAAAAGTGCACTGCAGAACAAATTTTGAGAGCCGCAGGTAACCTCTGGAGAGTTAACTGTGATGATGCTGTGTGTGGAATTATCAAAAGACCTCTGGACATCCTTATTTTCAGTGTGGCTAGACTTACTAAGCTGATTATAAATAACACAAACATTGGGCATTGGACATCAGTAATATCGACTTCAGCAGAAAAACATTTAGAAACGCACTGATCTGAGACACTAATCTGTCTAAAATGATTCTAAACTTGTGCTAATGTGTGTGTTAACATTCATAGGTTAAAGGATAACTTACGTCATTGTCAACATGGACCCTTTTTACCCATGTATTTTGTGCCTAAGTGACTCATGGGAACAATGTTTTTTAAAATTAATCCAGTATTGAGTGAGAGCTACGAACTAGGCTGCAATGACACCACTCAGGGAAATCATGTATCGTCAATTTTTGTCCACTGAAAGTGTTTCTTTTTGCCACTGACAGGCTCAGATTGTTATTCAAAGTGTCTGACAACATTATGGAAAGGATCCCTACAGTGATAGACCACTGTTCTAAAGAGTAAGATCCTTCTTGTTTAACCAGAAACATCCCCGAAATTGCCATCTCCAAACCCACCAGACTCCATTTAAAAAAACTGTAATTTAAGTGTGTATAGAGGCAGCATATTTTGACATATAACTGGGTAAATTGAAAGGTCATTTTCACCAAATCAGACTTAGTGATTGTTGGAACCGTGGAAAGACGAATCAAGACGCTTTTGTGAGTTTTATTTTGTTCCCGTCGACTCTGAATGAAATGTGTTTAATGATGATAAAATTACTGTTTATTTAAATGGAGTCTGGTGGGTTTGGTGATGGTAACGTCAGAGCTGATTTTGGTTAAACAAAATGGTCTATCTCTGTAGGGATCCTTTCCATAATGTTGTCAGACACATAGAAGAATAATCCGAGCTTGTTAATGGTAATTACTCGACCAGTTTAAAAAAATGCTGCTGGAAAACGTGAGGTCTTTTTTGTGCCAGCTTTCAAGAGCGCGGCGGCAGGTTGCTACTGAGGCTGATCTTCTTCCAGGAGCTGTTTAGAAGTGTGTAGGCCTATCGTCTGTGGGACAGATGAAAAGCTCTGGGTAGCCCTGCACTAACATGATCAGCTTTTCTGTGTTTATCAGACTGAATATTTACAGAAGAAGGGAAAGATATGTCAGCTGTGATTGGTTGTTCCTCGTCACATGACATGCAGTGCACGCTGCTGTGTTCCAACAGTTGAACTCTGTTTATCTTGGGGCGTAGCCTTCGCGTCCTGAAAAATAGGTGCTCAGGAATGCGTCTGAGTTCACCTGCCGTGCGTCTACGTTCAAAACAATGAATTTGAGGGCGCAAAAAAAATGGCATGTTTGCCCCTAAGGCCTCTTTCCCATTGCACAAAAAAACCCAGTAACACCAGCTGACATCTGGCTTGTGGGAATGGGAAAGGGTACGATTGGCATTCGCACCTGGGACAAATGACTCTGGAGTAGTCTTGGGTGTTTACCAGCACAATGCACAATATACTGTCTGTCTCTGCCCAAACAGCACTCCAACATTAATCCAAATTTAGTCAACACTGAGTTTAAAAGAGAGACTGTTGCTGTTTGCTAACCTGTTTTCCAGCCTGTCCATGACATCAAATGTGACACACCAGTATAAACAAAACAAACAAACAAACAAAACAAAACAGAAGAGCACACTCGTCTACTGCAGAACCCTGTACATGGCTCCGGTCTGCTGGCAGCAGTCTATCGCTTATTTTTAGTGTGTGTTCCCATGTTGAAGAGACCTACATACACACACTAATATTGGTGGAAAAGAGTTACTACACACAAAAACATGGGGAATCAAGATTTGGGTTGAAAATGACCAAAGTCACCTTTTAACATTCATAAAATGATGATCCATTAGATGTTGTGTGATTATACAAAATATAATGGCTTCACTGTGACGCCACAGGAGTTCATGATATATAATTAATGAATTCATGTGTCTAATCATGATGAGTCATGTATTAGTTATGCATCAATTAAGCATGCAGTGTGAACCTTAATTATAAAATGTTACTATAAATGCGACGTGTTTCCTGTTCAGTGATCATGGTATCTGTTACTACATGAACCAACAGCCTGGTGGAGTCTTACCTTTGCAGGAGGTTTGGTCCTGTTGTTGTTATTGTGGGACGCCAGGTTGACGTCTTCGTGGACGCGGTCCAGCAGCCACAGGAGGAACTCCAGGGCGTCATGTTGGGAGTTACCACGAAACTGCGATCCGTACTTGGACACTATCGTCTGGAGAGGAGAGGGGAGAAGCAGACTTAATGAAAGTGTCACTTTTCAGCCCAGCTGTCAGAAGATAATGTTGGCATTGTGCGTCCCTGCAAACCACGAATACATTACATGTGTGAGTTTCATTTGTGTCATATCAACTTTTATGAAGTGACCTAGCTGACTTTGCCATCAGGAGGTGGAGGGGATGGTGGATAGCTGCAGACGACTGTTTGAGACCAAGGAACAACAGTAGTGAACCATCACTAATTTTCCAGCTGCGATAGTTGTGAAACCTGTGGCCACCCATTGCCCCAAAATCTGTTATATTTAGCCATTTCTAACCATAACCAAAGGTTTTTGTGCCTAAACCTAACCATATGACATATTCTGGGACGTCTCTGGTCATCTCTCTGTCAGCTCCACTGAGTTTGTGCTAAGTTTATGCTCTTATGTTTATTTTGCAAGCTTTTTGTGGTTGGTATTGGACAGCGGTGGCGTGTGGTGGCGAGTCACTCATCAGGATGAGGAAATCAAGTCTCCAGTCTGTAAACTGTCCTCCTGTCTACATCTGATAGCTAGCTGCTAGCTTGCCAGATCAAGGTTTTCAATTGTAAACATCAGTAAACATTGAGGGAAAGATGGAGAAGAGAGGACACCAGCTGAGCTAGCATCTTGCTGCAATTGTTCAGGCACTGGAAATAAACTGGACGACATCTGTGCCGCATCAGGAAGTGAAATATCCTTTGCTTCACCAAAAGTTTAGCTCAATCCATTCAACCACGTGACTCTTTTCCTATATGTGATCTGACAGAACAGAGGACTCCAGGAGAGAAGGAGAGAAGGAGAGGAGGCGTGTGCTTCACAGTGAATAAGGACTGGCGTGACGGTGTGAATATGAGCTGCTGTCCTGTTCCTGCTGTGGATCACTGCTATACAACTTTCAGAGGCAGCTGCAGAGAAGCGCTGCCTGTGTTCAGGAGGAGCGACTATACTGCTGTCTCGTCAAGTTCGGCACATTTTGACAGTTAAATCATTTCACAACCAAAAACCATGGATTACCAGAACCATCCGGAAACTGAAGTTGTACCTACTATAAATTGAAATGATGAAGTATCCATAGGTTGAAGAAATGTACAATGCTAACAATCTTTCTGGTGACCGGGTTGCTGTGCGCAGATTTCAACTGTTGGAACACAGCAGCATGCACTGCATGACATGTAGCGAGGACCAGCCAATCACAGCTGACAGATATCTTTCCCTTCTTCTGTAAATATTCAGTCTGATAAACACGGAAAAGTTGATCATGTTAGTGCAGGGCTACCCAGAGCTTTACATCTGTCCCACAGACGATAGGCCTACACACTTCTAAACAGCTCCTGGAAGAAAATCAGCTCTGCACTCAGGACTTCAGGTAAATAGGCTGTATGATGCTTGTTAAGATTGCTTAGCAACCTCAGACGCAACCTGCCGCTGCCCTCTTGAAGGCTGGCACAGAGTAGGCATCAGATTATGGTGTAAATGTCTTTATTCTTTCAAAAATAAAAGCCCTCTGCAACTTTAAGCTTTTATGGGGGAGGGCGAATGCACAAGTTTTAAATATTAAGGGCTATGTGTCCCCTGCGTCGCCCACTAAATCTACACTTACTGTATGGCCTACAGCTACATAATTACTTTATTAGGTGTATTTTATAAGCAAGGAAAAAAATTCAGTGCTGTATCAGTACAGAAAAACCTTCTATAATCCTTGAATATATCTATCCTGTCCAGAGAGTCCCAGTTTCCTCTCCACTGAAAGATAACAACAGTGGTGCTTTAATTGGCTTTTGTAATGTGACAGCTCGTTAGAATTAAAGCTGCAGTGGCTACCTGAAGGAGCCAAATAAAACTGCATTGCTAAGACATCCTTTCTGAAGAATTCTCCAACAGAAAAAACGTGAATCTCAAGCACTACTTGTTTCTCGGTTTTGACAGCTCGGGTGTGTGCGCTGGGCAGCTCTACCCCGGCCTTCTCCACAGAACGCTGATCAGAGGAATCCCGGAATTGCAAATTTGCACTAACGCTCTTCACGCTTCCCTCGTCTCCACCTGGCCCACGCTCTGACTGATGCAGACTCAGTTCAGATTTTGGATTTGCAAAATGTGCCTTTGTCTAAAAAACATGCTTGTTAATAAAAGTTTTACTGTCAGAAGTATCACATTCACCCCCTTTTCTTCTCAAGAAACTGAACATCAGGAGAAATTTGCCTTCAACAAGAAGAAGTGTGAATAACAGTCTTCTTAAAAGTAGGTTGAAGACTACTTTAGCTCACACTCAGTATAATATGACTTCAGATCTGAATGGCACCCGACTCAATTAGGCGGGAATTAGCTGCATGAACCGCAGCTGGCAGGCTGCAGAAGCAAAGGCAGTGATGAGAGATTATAGCAGAGGGAGCAGCAGACTGTAATCATTGCTTCATAATCCACTAATATGTGATATGCCTCTTATGGCTATTACACCATAACGTGATGTAGCATGTCTGATGATGGAGTGAGAGGCCCGCCACTGAGGAGCTGCTGGTCGATTCTCAAAAAGATGGGCAGACATACTGAATTAAAACGCTCTTTAACAACCAGCGACTCAGGATAAAGCTGCAGGTGTTTGAATATGAGACAGAGCAGACCAGTATACTCAACTCAGATCATTCTAAAAGAGGGTCGTTCAGTCGGAGCAGAGTAATTTAATAATGAGCAATCATTGGCAGTGCAGCCAGGGCTGCGTCTTCAAAGTACTTCCTCTAAGATGTGGTTACTGACAAGTGCAAAAAGTGAACATAAAAATTCATAAACAGAGAAAAACTGCTGGTGGAGTCTTGGCAGAGTGATAAGGTTCTCTAATCTTCTCCTCTGATCTCGTCTTTAAAGTGAAAGTGAAGCTTCCTTTGCCTCATGGATCTCAAAGTCAAAAAGTGATGAGAGTTACAATCCAGCACTGGATCCCTGCAATAATTTTAAGAAAAGGTCGGTCGCAAAATACGAAAGGAAATGTAGAGCTGCTTGTTTAATTCAACTGGACAGCTGTGTGTCTCTGTTGAGCAATGTTTTTATTACATCAAGAGCATGTGAACAGAAGAGCCAGATGTGCACTGAGACACTTTTGTAATCTGCATATTTTCCTCACTTAGATGACACGTCTGACTCTGGGAAGTCTTACTGTAGGTTTGGAAGTTAAAATAAGACATTTACAACCTGAGAGAAAAGTAGACCTCTGCACCTCATCATGACTGTTTTCAGGCTTTAGATAATCTAGGCCATTACGGGAGACTTTGGCCAATCTCAGGTCATTTCAGAGAGAGGGCGTTCCTCTCGGCTGTTCTAAAGATGCAAGTGTGCATCCCCTCGGTGAAAGCCTGATTCAATGGCAGAGAATCCTGCAGAGAAAGTTGCTAGTCCAGCTCTGGCAACGACTGCCTGCACTGCAAAGCAACCTTTAAAAAAGCAGGACAGACTTATCAAAAAGAGTCAAATGAGAGTCTGACAATAAACAAAAGAAAACACGTGTCAGTATTGGAAAAGCTTGTCAGATGCTAATAGTCTTGCCTTCTGCTAACTCGAGCCAAAAGCTCAGAGCTGGGGCTTTAAATTCATGTTTATTTAGCTAACATTATCTAGAGCCTCGAATCACAGTGTGTCTTCCGCCTCACTCCCCGCCACAACAGACCACCTCGCCAGGAGGAGAGCAGGCAGCAGCTCAGAACCCCAGTAAGTGGCCACAGCAAATCAAATCCAGACACACAAACCCAAGCTCCACGTGAACTGACAGCCCCAACTCCCTGCTGGGTCAGCAAACTTTCTGTTGCTGCTGTTACACAGGTTAGACCCGGTGCTGCTGCTGCTGGCCACCAGACCCCTGTGACACCCTGCGCTGGGGGGTTTGCACTGGCCAAATTCCAGCTGCTAGAGCGACCGACTGAAGGCCTGCCTCCCGAGCTGCTGCCCAGTCTCCTCCCAAGGCAACACATTCTCACTGTGACCTTGTCACATATCGACGTTTGGTCATGGACTTACAACGTCCACATACGACTTCCAAGGTACCCTGGGTGTGTTGGTTGTTGACGTTCTGGGACGCCTTGTCAAGTTCAGCCTGTTACATGCATTGTCTTCTTTCAAAGTACACTTCTGTTTTCACAGGAAATTTAACGTTTACATACAGTCTCTTTCAAAATAAAAGTACTAAGTCGGTACAACACTGTGAATTGATGTTTTTTTTTTCCTCCAACAACAAACAAATGGGGTTGAGTTTAGGCAACAAAAGCACATAGTTAGGTTTAGGAAAAAAGGAACAGGGTTTGGCTTTACAGTCTTACGTGATGCAAACACGGCTCTCTCAGTGAAAGCTGGCGTTTGTTGGCGCGTGCATATGCCCGTGGTTGTCTGGTGGGAGGGGCTTATGTGGAAAGCTGCAGGAGGACGGTGTATTTTCAAATTCTGCCTTTTTTCTTGGCCTTTTTCAGATTTCTGCTTACCCCATCTTTCAACATGTTTTCTTGGAATGTTGTGAACATATTTTCACATCCATTTAAAGTCTATAGTCTGTCAAACTTCACATTTCAACAAATGTCTCTGAGTCAGACTGACTGGAGAAGATTCAGTGTAGTTCAGCAGATCCTTTTTAAATTAATGCCCTTGAAACATTCAGGGTTGCTATTAACCAGGAGAACGACGGACACACACTAACCCAAAGCTGTTGTGCGGCACAGTAATAACAGTAATTACCTTCAGAGCCTTGAGAAGGTGGCAATTGTCTCAGTGATATAATTGAGGTTTTTTATTGCTCTCTGTGGCATAATGGCCACTGGCCAGTCTGTAATGTGTGTAATCATCTAACTAAAAGATAAGGACAAAATAAGAAAACACTCTGTTCTCTAATGTTATATATTTTAACCAGTTATCTATTACTTTACAGCTCAGTGTTTCAACTGTGGGTCTGTTATTTCAGAGAGCTATATAAATTATGTCTAATTCAGTGATCTGTTTCAACC